GCGGGCCGCCGAGCCCGCCGCGCAGACCTAGGCCCGGGCTCAGCGCGGGCGCCGAGGGCGCTCGGAACTCGCGCAGCACAGAACGCTCTGGGCCACAGAAATGACTGTACTTTTGTGTATAATGGTTTCTTACAGAATTTCACACCTTTGCCATTCAGATGCTTTTTTAAAAAAGAACTAAGAACTTTTAACCTTTCCGTTTAAAATTACCGAAATGGAAAGTGTCTACAAAAAGCATATTGCTTTTTCAGATTATAGTTATCTTTTCTAATAACTTGACTCCTGTAAATTTTAAGGGAACTTGAATGGACCTCAGAGCCATACCTTTCCTGACGCCTCTCCCGCGTTTCTGCTCCCAGAGGCCGCTGTCAGCCTCCCGGCGGGCGCGCCGCGTGCCTGGGCCCGGCTGCGGGCGCGGTGTTAGCTCATCTCTGGAAGGTCGAGAAACGCAGAACTCACTCATACGTCTTTCGTCGTCAAGAAATTTGAATTACAAATTTCAGCTAGGAAACAAACGCGTTTCTGAGCAAAAGCTCAGTTTTTATATATCGCCTTACACATTTGGTTTCAAAAACAATTAAAAGCAACATCTGAGTAGAAATTGTTAATTTTAAATAAGTTTATTTTAAAAAGGTTTAAATTTTACCAGCCTAAAGAAAGTGAGAAAACAAACCAATTAAGTGTACTTTAAACGGTGGGGAGGGGGAGTTCTTTGATTTGAATGATCAGGAACATGCTGTTTGCTGAACTTCACCGTCTGAGCATTTCTCTCTGTGTCCCAGGGAGAGCGCCCTAGCTCCGGACTGTCGTGTTTGTCAGGGGATAAACTTCAGCGTCCGTCACTGAGGTGGAACAGTAGCTGTGTGAAGCCTGAAGTGGGAGGTAGTGCTGTCAGCTCAAGAACGGCAGGCAGGAAAGCTGCTCGCCGTGAAAGGCAGCGCACCGCTCGTCCTGTTTTCCACGTACTTCTGGGGTGTGAAATAGAGAAAACCTTGCTAATTTATTTGACTGTACAAATACACTTTGATAATTTTTTTATATTTTCATAAACTTACTTTTGCAAATATAAAATTAGAGAATTTTATTTGCTCTTTGGAGTCTGTTCCATTGTACGTCACTACAGATTTTTCACTTTCTAGCACAAACATTTTGAGTTACTAGAGCAGGGAGAACGTATTAGCCACTTGGGGTGATTGGTTACAGATCAGAGTCAGTGGGTTAAACTGCATCAAAGTGGCGTCAAGTCCCAACAGCTGATGTGATGTGAAGGTTTTTTTACACGTAAAACAAATTTTTCTAATTTAAACACAACAAATGTAAAAATCAAGTGTGTTTCTTTAGGTTTACTTGATAGAAATTTCTGTAAATTGTATTTTATATTGCAGAGTATTATATCACTGTACATTAAAACATGGACTTCATAGGTTTGTTACTTGAAGTAGAATAAACGTCTACAAGGGTTTTCTGTCTCGTGTGTCCTCACTCGGCGGCTGGAGGGGAAGGTGGGCGTGGGCCTTGCCCTTGAAAGTCAGCCACGCACCTGGCCCTCACCCGGTGACCCTCGTGCCAGCATTTCACCTCAGGACAACCTCAGGCTCCCCCGGTACTGGCGCTGTGAGCCGAAACTGCCAAGAAACATGTTCCTCGGGCAAGACAGGCTCGACCCCTGGGCAGTGGAGAGTTCGAAACTGACCGTCTGGTTTCCTGGCTGCGCACACAGCAAACCGGGGGAGAACCCAGGACGTGCATGTCACACAGTGGGGGTTCCATGGGGGGGACCTGGCCTGGGGCCGCCGCTGCCCCTGCGTCTCAGGAAGGCGTCAGGTCGGGGGCGCCCCGTGACCTACAAGGGTCCCAGGAGGCGGCCGCTTATCTGTGGTCGCCCCGCACCAGCCTGACCTCGGAGAAGAGCGCGCTACCAAGAGCTGCTGGGAGCCGAAGCTCCCTCAAGGAGCAAAGCCCGGATCCTGCAGGACACGCGCTAAACAGTGCTGGGCGCTGGGCCGGGCCGGCGGGGCTGCAGGCTGCTGTTCCAGCAGTTTCCCCAGAACGTCGGGGAAAGTGTGCCCGCGACTGGACATCCTCTGTCCTCCCAGAGCCCATCCTGTACACGTGCCACAAAACCCTCGCCCAGCCAGGCTCCCCCGTCACCCCCACTCCCACCCCTTCAGGACTAGCCCCGACGGCTCCACCCATGACCCCCTTCACCGACGTCACCCACCGTCCTGTGCTGGGCTCCCCGGAGACCTGACAGTGGGGAGTCCCGCTTGAGCCCCCAGCAGCCACGCATGCCTCTGAGACATCCCTGGGGCTAGAGGGCTGCGGTGCTTGGCGGGGGCTGCCGTGTGGCTTCAACTCCTGGTCCGGATGCCCCATCTGTCTCCACGGGGCAGCTGTGAGGGAGGATGAAAGGGCCTCCCAGGGCGGTGGGCCAGTCGCTCTCCCACCCCCACCCATACCAGCCCCAGGGCGGGTCATAGCATGGGTCCAGACTGGCTGTGCCCGTGAAAGGGGCCTGAGCAGGAGGGGAGGAGAGGCAGGGGATGGGTGTATGAGCCCCTCGGAGGCGGGGTTCGGAGCTGGTAGCTACTGGGTCTCAGGGCTTCGAATAGCTGTGCTGCGTACTTCCTGCAGGACATTCGGGAAAGGAGAGGGTCCCGAGGCCACCCGTTGCACCCAGCAGTTACTGCTGGTAATGTTTTGTATATCAGTTTCTCTTAATCTCTTTTTCCCTCTATTCTTTTACGAAGTCGGGATGCTACGCATTCTGGTATATTTCACTTCTGTCTCCTGGGCGACTCCCAAAGCTGTCAGGAATTCATCAGAAGCATTTACATTTTTCACGTTGCTCAAAAGGTTTTTATCTTCTATCAAGAGAACACGTGCTCCCTGTGGATCTGAGGGGTCCTCCGTGTCCACTGTGGAGAATGTGGGAGATGAAAGAAGTGTACTAAGGAAATTAGGTTCCCCCAGATGCTGCCATCCAGAGACAGGCGTTCCTAATGGCATTTCTGGCCCACTTTTCTCCCGAGCTTCACAAGGCAGCCCCAGCCTGACGTCACAGAGGGTCCCCTGCCCTGCCATCCCTTGTGACTTCTGTCCTCGGGTTTGTAAGAAGGCTGCCCTTGCAAGCACACTCTCATCACCTCACCGCTCACGGAGCCTGCAGGGCTGTCCACGCCCATCCCCCTTCAAAGCGTGTGGTGTCACCCCTTGGGCCAGATTGGCTCCTGGCCGCCCAGGCTGCAAGGGAGCGAATCAGGGATCAGGGTCTGCTAGCAAAACAGAAGGCACGGTGGAGCCACCGTGAGAACCACCGCGGGTACATCACACCCCACGGGTCAGAAAACTGGCCATGACAAGTGCAGGCAAGGGCGCAGGGCAGCTGGCACGGCCCGGGGGTGGGTGGGACGGTGGCACCGTCTGGAGAAGAGCTTCCGGGTTCCAATCAGTGACATGTCAGGGTCAACTCCACACCACCCAGAACCCCCACTACCCCGCGAGACATTACCCCAAGGCATGCACCAGCACTGCACTGGGGACAGTGTCACCCCGGGGGCAGGTCTTAGGTGCTGGGATGGTTCAGGGTCTCCAGAGAGCCCAGCAAGCCTAGAGGCAGCACGGAAGACGCAGAGACGCAGAGGAGGGCCCTCCTGGGAAGTGAGTCTAACAGGCTCCCTGGGGGACAGACTTCAGATGGTGGCGAAACTCCCCAAAGATGCAGGGGTGGGCACAGCTCAGGGGTGACGTGACTGCGTGGCGCGCACGGGTCCTGGGTTCAGTCCCCAGTACCTCCATTAAAATAAATAAATAAACCTAGCTACCTCCTCCCTAAGAGAAATAGGATAAATTAAAAACAACAACAACGATTCATGCTCACACAAAAATCTGTAAGCAAATACTTACAGTGCTTTCTGCACCACTGCCCAAACCACAAAACCACCCAGATGCCCTCCAGGCAATGCCCAGACGCACCACGCTGGCCACCTGGAGCAGGCGAGCGCAGGTGCAGACCCTGGTGGGGAGGGGGCTCGGGGCGTCCAGCGGGGACAGGCGCCAGACCACGGCCACCGGCAGCAGGGCCCCACACGGGACAGGCTGGATAAGGCAAACCCGGGGGGCAGGCAGCAGACCAGGTGGGAGTGGGGCACCTCTAAGGGCCGCACAAGGGAGGCAGTTTGGGGGGCAGGAGTGGTCTGCCCAGGGTCTGCTGGATGTTTGTGCTTGTGACTTCAACTGCATGTGAGTGACAACCAGTCCCCCAGACACCCAGGATGGGGAGACGGTTTTTATGCTGGAGCTCCCGAGGGGAGTCCTACCTCCCACACCGGCACATGCACGCACACTCACAGGTACGCATGCACGCACGCAAGCACGCATCAGGAACAAAGAGAAACCAGCTCAAGTCAGAAGGTGACTCGGCTGCGGTCACACTTATCTGCCCTGGACCACGGCAGTGACAGATTCTTCGTTTCAAAGACCCTCAGGGACATCTGAGATTACATGCAGATGAGTAACAGGTGAACACTTCCCTTTGGTTTAAAAACCAAGATCCCAGAGGCAGGAGGTGGGCCGGAGGGAGGGAGGGAAACCGCGCTGAGGGGCTACAGGCCCTTCTGCTGGGGTCTCCCCTTCGTTCTCTCTGCTCGAGGTCACCCCGGTACTCGGGCGCCCTGCAGGTCCCCTGCCGCCCTGTCCTCTGGCTTCCCCGCACTGCCTGTTCCCAGGCCTGTCCTGGAACCCCCCGCCCGCCCTGGGCGCTCTGACCCAGTCTCTTCAGCTCTGGGTCGACCACTTTCTGCTTCTCAGGTGTTGCCTTTTACCAGTTTGCATCGAAGACCCAGCCTCCGCCCGCTTCTGATCCCCCACGTCCCCTCACCACGCACCAGGGGAGTGTTGGTCTCGTGCTTGTGAGCGTGCCCCCCGCTGGGGTTTCCTTGGGAGTTCAAATCTGTTGCCCCCACTTTTCTTTGTGTGGGTGTGTGTGTGTGATTAATTAGTACTTTAACAGCCGAGGAACTTCCGAGCAAGCAGAGGGAGACTCATAGTTTGCTGTGTCCTATTTCTTAGTCCCATAAATCTATCAAACAATGTTTTTAAAAAATATTTAAATACCGACTATCAGACACTTCAACATCCAATTAAGCATTTAACAAATTTCATTTTTCCAAATATTTTGAAATCAGTCACAAAGGTACTCAAATTCTCCTAAGCAGCTAATTGAGATCCCATCTCTGACAAAGGTGGGCCCAATTCTCTTTCTCCTTAAGAAGCAGACGAAACTCACGAGTCACAGCACTAGCAAGCAGCGTGGAGAACGGTCCCCCGAGGCCGGGGCGTGGGTTTCACGCCTCTCTACCCCTCTCCTTACTGGGGTCAGAGAGAGACAGGGAGACACAGAAAGGCAGACAGGCAGGGCCGGGGAGAGGCATCAGGACTTTGGGGACAGAGTTGGCCCAGCTGTTGCGGGAGCCAGTGGTAGTCTCTGCTGGAGGCGGGGGGCTGGAGGGCCAGGTTGGGCAGAGGGGAGGGGCGGGAAGGGGCCGGAAGAGGAGGGAGGACAGGCTGGGCCCTCGAGGGTGGACTAGCCTCACGTGGCCCTGTCTGCCTGCCACCTCGAGGGGGTGGGTGTCCGGCCTGAGAAGCTGGCGCACTTTGTCGTAAAGGTAGGTGCAACCCTGGCCCAAAACAGACTGAGCGGATCCTGGGGAGGTGACATTCATGTGTGAGACCCTGGCCCAGCCCTCTGAGTAGGAAAAGTGGAATGGCTGTCACTTCTCTCCTGGCCTTCAGATCTCACGCAAACTGTCCCTGCTGGTGCCCTTCACCAGGAACATGCAGGGGAGGGGCTTCTAAGAAAAGGGGCCCAGCCAGCGCCAGTCACCGGCACCAGCCCCGTCATGGTGGCCCCAGCACACCTCCAACCTTGCCTACAGCTGCCCTTTGAGCCATAATTCCCAAACACAGGCACCAACTCTGGTCCCCACCTGGCATGACACCACCACCCTGTCCCCTGGCAGAGGAGACAGTCCCTTCGTTCACCCCCGTGATGCTCAGTCTTCTGGCCGACTCGCACTTCCAGGTGCTGCCCGGTCCCGCAAACTCTGGGAAGGGGGTCAGCCACCCTGAACCAGTCTCACCTTAGATGATCGGGGACAAGAGAAGAGAAGAAAATGGACATTCGTGGGTAATAAACACACAGGACTCAGCTATCTCGGGCCTCCCCGCTGCCCCAGTCACAGTGGTGTCGCTGTGTTTAGAATAACCTTCCTCTGCTACCCAGTCCAGGCCCCCCTGGAGGCTCCTCGCCTGTGGGTGACCCAAACCTTCATCCTGACGGGTCTGAACTGCGGCTGCCCTGCCTGAGTGCTGCTCCTCCTGGGCCTCCGGCCCCATCACTCCTGCTTTGCCAGCTGATTCACTGGCCTGAAGAGTCCAAAGTGGCCGGACAGGAGTCTCGACTGGTGGCCCAGTGACACTGTCACTATGCCCCCGAGAGGGAGCGCTGCTCCCCTGGGACTGAGCCCTCCAGAACCGAAAGTTGCAGGAACAGGAAGCACAGACTTTGCTGGCAGCTCAGTGGAGGGAACAGCAGCCACCCACTTCCACCCCTTGATTCCAGTCCCGCAAATGCTGGAGAAACAGCCCCACTGGTGGCTGACTCAGAGCCCGCCCCACGTCCCCGAAGACGTCGTCGCAGCCCTGCGTGGTGTTGCCGCCTAGCTGGCACTGTAACCGAGGCTCCAAAGCGCCACCGAGCACACCTCTTAGACTGTCCAAAAAGTGCAGCACTGACAGCACTGGCGAGGGTGTGGAGCAACGGGACTCTCTCTCTGGTGCAGCCACGTTGGAAGACAGTTGGCAGTTTCTTCTGAAACTAAATGTACTCTGACCATACCCTCCAGCGGTCCCCTTGGCATTTACCCAGAGGAACTGAAAGCTCACATCCACACAAAAACCTGCACACAGACATTTGCAGCAGCTCAATTCACAACTGTCAAAACTTGGAAGCAACCCCGATGTCCTTCAGCAGGTGAATAGGTAAATATACTGGAGTCCATCCAGACGCGGCGTATTATTCAGCACCAAAAAGAAATGAGCTGTCAGGTCATGAAAATACGTCAAGGAAACTTCAATGCATGTTACTAGTGAAAAAGCCAATCTGGAAAAGCCTACGTTATTGTGTGATTCCAACTCTATGACTTTCTGGAAAAGGCAGAACTATGGAGACGGGGAAAGGACGAGCGGCTCCCAGGGAGGAGGCGGGGCGGGGGGCAGGCCGGGCACCTAGGCCGGACGGCCTCCGACGGGCGCCTTCTGTGCGTGTCCCGTGAAGCTTGCTCTTGAGCGTGTTTCTGAGTCATTGTACGTGGTGTTTGTGCTTCAGCCGCAGTGCCACGTGTCCAGCACTCACGGTTGGTGTTTGTATGCTGTGGTCTTGCTGAGCTCGCTTCCTGGCTTGTTTATAGAGTCCTGGGATTTTCTGCCCAGAGTACCGTGCTGTCTGCAAGCCAAGACAGGCCTGCTTCCTGCCTCGCCGTCTGACGGCCCTTCCTGCCCTCGCTCTGTCGCGCTGAGCAGGTCCTCGGGGCAGTGCTGAGCCGGAGCAGAGGGAGGGGGTGTCTTCCCTTTCTTCCTCGTCAAGGGAAAGCTGCCTGTCTTTCACCATTAAGGACGGGCAGCCGTAGGTACTTCACTCTGCCCTTTATCGAGCGTGGGCTCCCCCCGCCCTTGGCTGACAGAGATTTATCAGGAATGGATGTTGGATTGGCTTTTGTTCTGCATTTTTGAGGTAATCATACCGCTTTTCTCTCTGGTCTGTGAATAGAGTTGTTCACGTTTGTTGACTTTCAAATGTAAACAAAACATGCGTCCCTGGAATAAACCCCTCTGGGTTGTGATGAGTTATTTTTTTCGAAGAAACCTTGTTGGATTCCATGTGCCAAGATGTGGTTCAGAATTTGTGCGCATCTCTCCGCGTCAATCGCTCTGCAGTTTTGCTTTCCTGTCCTGCCGGTTTCACAGGGTGCACGTGTTGCTACAACTTCACGCCCAACACACGTGTTCTCGGGACACCAGGTTCCCATGGATGCTGTGCTTGGGGATCCAGCTGTAGGTCCAGAGCTGAACCTGCCCCCACGGGGTCTCCCCTGTGGCTCCTCCCGGTCCTTGAAAGCTGGCCCCACTTCAGGGCCCTCTCAAATCTGCCATCCATCCATGATGCTCTTTACTGTTTCTTCTTGCAGGTTCGGGGCAGGGGCTGCTCTTTGCCTGCCCTGCTCCCTGGGGCTCTCCCTGACTCCTCAGCAGGGTTCCCCAGCCAAGGGGGGCTGCCTCCCCAGGGCTAGACCAGAACCACAGGGAGCCGTGTTCAGAGTTTGAAAAAAGCTTGTTTGACATTTTCTTCACGTTTTATTTGTAAAGCAGACCCCACTGAAGCCAGATCGTCCTCATGTGCCATATCTAAACAAAAGAGGTCTCAGAAATTAACACCTGCAAACGCCACCCAAATCAAGAAACACAAAAACAGTGCAGGTGCCGATGGTCTTCATTTCCAATGAACAAAAAGCCAGGTCAGATATAATCTTGATTTTATTTTCCCGTTTAAACACTGTAAATTTCACTCTGATTTTGCTGCCCACAGTGGGGTCCACCAATCAGCACACACATCAGCGGGGGCTCCGTAGAAAGGGGGGATTCTGGGCCCACCCAGGCGGGCCGAGTTAGAATCTGCTTGTAAACAAGATCCCGGGCGTGAATCTGTGCACTTCACCGCCTGTGTTGGCATCATGCTTAGAATCGTCTCAAAGATTTTATCGCTATCCTATATATTCGGTGGTTGCATAATTTTGCTTTTTAAATTTAGGTATTTCAATGATCTGAAACTAATTTTTACCTCAGGTGTGTGGGGGGAAAATACCCTTATTTTTTTTCTAAAAGATTAATCATTTGTCCAGTTATCTTTTTGTGAGTAGTCCGTCATTTCCCTCCCAGGGACGTATTAAGTGGGAAAAAAAGAAAAGCAAATTATAAAACCATAGTATGATCTTATATTGTTCAAAGAAAAGACACTGCAAAATAAAAAAATAGCACTGCAAAGATAAACGTCTGAGCTGTGACAGAATGAGCAAGAGGTTCAGAGCCTGCTTGTTAGAAAACTGTGCCTAAATCACAAGCCTTTCTTTAAATGACCTGGTTTCTCTACAGAAAACAACCACTGGTTGAGACCGGGGTACTGGTGAGAGGGGTACAGTAAGTATTTTGAGCCTGCGAGAGTAATTCTTTCAAAGACCACGTATTGTATGGTACCATTTCTGCGCAGTGCCGGGGGTTAGCAAACCCACGGGCCCAGAGAGTGGAGTGCTAGTGGTGAGGGATTCTCTTTAGGGTGAAGATGTTCTGAACTGACTGTGGCTTTGGGATGTGAATATGCTACCGCCAAAGGGCACGCTTTAAACGGACGAACCCACGTGACATGTGCGTTATAGTTCAAAAAAGCTTCTAAAAATCTCTCAGGTCGCTGGCCAGTGCTTGTCGGGTGCATCGATCACACCGGCCCTGGCCCGTTCTAGGATGAACTCGTGCACCACGTGTTTACCTGACTGAGCCTCCACCTGCGCACAGACGGCCTGGTCGCACCTGTGCTGGGGGCAGCTGTCTCACCTGTCTACTGTCGGGGCG